ATTTGAAATGTGGTATTCTGGTTGTCGAGTGACATGAGTGCGAGAAATAATCGAAAATGAAACGTTTCAAGTGAAATTGATACATTTTAAAAAGAAATTTCGGCGAGTAAAGTTTAAACTAAAAAAAATTTTCAGTGTATATATTTATATTTTTAAATAATAAAAAATGTCAATTGCATTATGGTTTACCAATTCATCTCATTCCGGTAGTGATGAAATTAAAAAAAAACAACTATTTGAAATTACTAATGAAATTAAAAAAATTAAGGATCGAAAGATTTAAGATTGGCGACAGCTCTAATTCATTGGATTTGCCAAATTTTTTTTAGTAAATTATTTGCAAACATTTTATTTTATTCACAGATTTATATACTATTACAGACTTCCAAAGGAGGCCTTTGTATATTTACTGAATATATTCGAGGGAAAAACGAGTACCCGTAAAAGGCGTGCCCTCTCATGAAATTTCCAATTCTTCAAATTTATAAATGCTTTCACGCTAAAAACAAAAATTAAATTATATATTTTGTGACTTGATTTATGTGTAAAATTAATATTTTTATGATTTTGTTAAATTGTTTTGTTTTAACTTGCATTTTTGGTGTATCATTCTTTCTTGTCATTTGTAAATACTTTTCGACAAAAAACGTCGTTTCACTACGACATATCTCGCATCAGAACGACAATTGGAATATGGCTGAAACACATTTTCCCGCTATTCCCCGACGATTGTCACTGCGGTCGCCGCTTAGAATATCAAATTCAAGTCGTAACGACAATTGTCGCTCTACTTCGACAACTAGAATAAGGCTCAAAATCTCATCTGCATATATATACACTCGTTAAAATTACCTATTATTCCGCGGGTATTCAGTATATATGAATAACGTATATAGACTAATTTCTTTTTGTTGATATTCTTGACGTAAACAATACTAAGCAATAAAGATTTGAGAGAATTAACATTTGTCACCATGTTAGTAAACAAAAAAATTTTTATTATGCACTGTCATCATTCTCACAATAAAATATTAAGGAAAAATGAGTAAAAGACAATTGAAGCGGTAAATGGACAAAGGGGTTAACTTACATTTGCATTGTAACATATTTTTTCTTAAAATAAAACTATTAACTTTTTTTTTACTTATCTTCTAGGTGCATTGTAAATCTCGTCTTCTATTAAGTTTCTAGCTATAAGAGTAATCATAGTTGAAGATATATGAAATTTAATGATGTTCTAACTGAAAAGCTCGGTTTTCGACAAAATGTTAGTTACCCCTTTATCCACTTATCTCTTCAATTATATCAATAAAGAAAAAATGAGTAAGTGATATATATCTGTATCATTAATTGTTTGCCAACAATGGCACCAAACTATTACCATGTAAAATTACGACATAAACAATTGCAACTTTTTTTGACAGTTAATTTTTTTGACACTAAAAATGAATGATAGCTCACTAAAAAGTAAGTTACAAAAACAATGATGACATGCCGTCATTTATACTTATGTGAAAATGCAATATTACTGAACTAACAAAATGAGTGTAATATAAACATAATATGAAAATAAAATATTAAAGTAAATATTGTGTGATATAAACGATTAAAGCTTGTGTAATCGGAAATGTCATACGCAAAAACTTTAGATTTTGTCAAAAAGCATAAATTTATTTAACAATTAAAACTAATGTAATCGAATACATTAAAAAAAAGACTAGCCAACTTGCAAAAATAACATTTCCGATTACATGCTAATTATATATCTGTGCGTTTTTAAATTAACATAGAGCCTTTGTCAATTTTTTCTTTTATTTTTTTTCTTTTACCAATTTATGCAAACACAAACTCGTACGTATACAGACACATATACATATGAATTTCATTTACTTAATTTGCTATATTATATTGCATATGTTTGTATATAATTTTATGTAGTCCTAAATATTTTATTTAAGGAGGTAATTTAAACGACATATTTAGGCTTCATAATATCATGGAATATAATTATGGTATATTATTATTATAATATTAATTAAAAATTTGTATACCTACATTTATATAATTAAAAGTATCATTTAGCAATTCATCGAAAATATTTTTTTTTTTCTTTTCAATAGTACTCGTAATTGTACCGAGAATTACGAATTAAATTAATAATTGATTATTATGCAATTCAGCAAAATTAAAAGTCTTTAAAAGAATTACAAAATATATTAATATCGTGTTAATGCAGTTTTGAAATCAGGAACACAAATATATGTATATGATTATAAAATGAAAATGAGTTTTCATATATTATAGAATTTATGATATTATATGCTTCCATGCTATTTTTGTTCAACGAGAAAAACTTTTCTTGAAATCGTAAAACTAAATGAATTTTAAATAGGAACACATTTAATTCAGTAATTATACAATTTATTAGCTCAATTATTTAAATTGTATGTTTATGATATTATTACTAAATATAGAAGCTTCCTTGACTTCAAAATTTCAGTAATTAAGAATTAATACAAAATTCAGGTTAATAGTTGTAATTGTTGAATTGTGTAGCAATACAGTGTGTCGCGGATTTGTATTTATAACATAAAAATAAAACAAATAGCACTTTTTCCTTCTACAAGTGAAAATACTGTTTTTAAAAACAAACTATGTATACATCTACTACTATTAAAATTACTTTCTTTCGTGTACAAAAGGATTTTTTAAAGATCGCATACATTTAGAATGAACGATTTAGGCAGTCTTTGAAATAAAGCAAAAATAAATTTGAAGAAGTGTTTACATAGTGCTCGATTTTAAGGGCTAATTGCGAGAGGTAAGAAAAATAATTATGTTTTTAAGGGTGCGGAATTTACCGTTAGCTTTCTGCGTTTATAGAAATTTTAAAAAGCTTGTTGCAATATAAGGTGCCAAAAATTCAAATTTTAAAATATCAAGAAGCGATAACTTGAGAGGGGGAGGAAGTAGATATAAATTTCTTTCTAACGAAATTAACTAATTATTGGTATCTAAAAGCTGCTAAAATTTCAGACTCTTACAACATGAGGTCTAGAGGAAAAATGATAGCAAAAATTGGAAAAAAACGAATTTGAGATAACGGTATATTTTAACGGTTATATTGTTTTTTTAAAGTTCACATATGCTATATGGCTGGTTTTGCTACAAAATTCTTAAAAAAGGGCGTTTTTAGGACTTTGAGGAGGAACTAAAAATTTTATTCCACAAAAAAATAAGTTTCTAGTTAAGATCTATGTGCGTATGAAATCTCATCTTTCTATCTTAAAGGATGTAGAAGTTTTGTAAACTTGTCCACGGACGAGGAGACAGACGGACGGACGGATGGGCGGACGAACGGGTGGACTTTTTCTTAAAATTTTTTGGAAAAGTGCAAAAAAGTATTATATAAACATTTAAAATACAAATATGAAATCAATTTTACAATTTTCAACAATTGAAATTATATTGCTGAATAAGTCAAGCTATAATAATATATTCAACATTATTATACATACTGTATTTAAATAATCGCGCGAGCTTTAAGCATATAATAACATGAAGTTTGGTTGCAAGTTATATTCGTTATTTGGCAGTTAATTTGCATTTTGGTGTAAAAGAAATTAATTTGGTTTTTGAAAAACAGTGTGCATGTCTTCAAAATTGTAGTAATACGTAATAAAACTTTATTACTACATTTTTGAAGTTATTACTGAATGCAAATAAAAATATATTATTTTCGATGAATAGCAGAAAAATGCTGCAATATAAAATATTTATGAAGAAAAACTAAAAAAAAAAATAATAATGAAAAAAAGCAGTTAAATCTAACGAACCAGTTGAATTTTTCACCATAATGCACATACATATATATATGTGCATTTTTTTTGAGTATTTTAAAGTTTTATTTGCTTTTTTTATATTTTGTTTCTTATTTTTCTTTGAAAATAAAGACTTATTTCGAAAAGCATATCACCTATTATTTTTAGGGTAAATAAAGTTCTTAGTTATATTGTATATACCAATATAAATCAATATCTACGAACCAAATATCCAGTTTGTGCTTCCTTGATTTCCAAAATACAGTCATACCATATTAATACATAATTCAGCTTTTAAGTGTGAATTGTGTATTAATTCCATATTAATGCATTTTGAGAGTCAAGATTTATATTAGTATGAAGTTAATATTTATAATAATATTAGTATTAGACATTATATCACATTTTTTTGCGACATGATGTATATTATACGCTTCTGATATATATGATACGCTTCTAAAAATAAGCTATCTCCGTCAAATCCATATGCCGAGTAAATTAAACAAAATGTGTTATATCACTGACTACTGAATCACCCTGCATATATATAATATACATATACATATATGATATTTATAAATATGACATATATGATGTATATGATATGTAAAATTTATATATATGCATATATATACGGATTTCTGTATTGAATATATAAATATGAAGTACATATACAAATACATGTATAATTATTAATAAGTGTGAATGCTTATAATATATATGTGTATAAAAGTCTTTAGAATTTTTTCTTCGTTATATTATACTTTTTTTTTTGTTTTATTTTTGATTTTTTCCGTATATTTTTCAACAACTTTATGTACTTTTAACTTTTGTTTTTTTTTGTTATATTTTAAACTGTTTTATATTCGGTATAAAATATATGGCGCTGTATTTTCTAGTATAAAATATATATATAAAAACAATGTAAATATGTTAATACATTAACATATTATTATTTAACATATTTATTTAAAATTTTAAACAATAAATTATTTTTTTAAAAAAGCTCTTTTTAAATTTTTTTTTTTTTTTTAATTTTTTACAGCCTAATTATACATTGTTATGCAGTTAATTTAAATTATACAAAAAATTAAATTTTGAATTAACTTTAAATACATACAGGGGAGTTTCTATCTTAAATGCAAATCTAACGTTAAATTTAATTGCCAAATAAATCAAATTTATATAAAGGTTGCATTTATGTAGGTGTTTCCCTATATGTATTATGTACATATATATATTTTATTACATAATTAACTTAATAATAAAACTTTAATTTCCAAAACGCAGGATAATATAATAATATAATTTTTTGTACAATTCATCAGTTTATAATTTTAAATTACATTTTATTTAATAAATACATTATTTTCAAGTCATTTTTAAAATTACGATATATTTACATAATACGTGTTATTAAAAATAGTTTTCGAAATTACAGTAATATCGTTCTAATATAGCTAATGGCTTTATTAGAATTACTGAATTGTTTGCTAGTGCACAGTGTTACTGATGCCAGGATATTTGTGTACCTCACTGTAAAAATACAACAGGAAAAGAGATAAAATTATCATTTTTAAGACATAAAAATGAAAATTGAAAAAATTGATCTTGAGAAACAAAATTTTATAGATGCTTATAATTAGGCTGTAAAAAGTACCTATGTGATGTTGTCTTTTTATTTTTTTCTTTTTTTTTGTAATTCTCTTCAATTGTTATATTGTCATTTTACACAGTGCATCAACTTTTTTATCAATTTATTTCATTTCCTTTCATTTTTTTCTTATTTGTACATATATATATATATATATATATATATATTTATATACATATATGATCTGAGACATTGTGCGTTCTTTATTTAAATATTTAAAATTAATATAAGTTTTTTTCAAGTCTTATTTCCGTTAATAATACAAGTAATTATATAATATAATATTTATAATTGATACATATGTACATATATATATAATAATCAATTACACGTAAAATACTCAAAACTTTCTCAATTTTGACACTATGTTGTATAAATTTGTTGGTTTAAACTTCACTCTTTTGAATTTTTAATACAATTTTCTGTACATTGTTGTTTTTATTTTTCTGTTGTTTTCCTGTGAAATATGAATACAAAAAACAAATAATTAAATTTCAATAGTTTTGCAAATATTAATTTAATGCTTTAAATACTGGGGGTATAAATATTGATTCAATATTTATGTGATTTAATATTAATATCAATATTGAAATATTGATATTAATAACATAAAAAAGTCATAATAGGAACGCAACACGCAGCGTATAGGAAGAGTATAGAAAAAATAATCAAAAAATTTTGATCTGTACAGTACAGTTCATAGCTGAAGAATTTACGCGTATTCTAACGGAAACTATAGGTGAACCTTTTAATCACCATAAATCCTCCACAAGATTAACTTTTATTAAATTTTTAGTTAGAAAGTGAAAATTTAATCCTATTTTATTTATTTTAACATTTCTGTAGTTTTGTGTAATAATAACTTTTTAAAATTCAAAATGATTTAAAAAAAATAGGTGCAGACTCTGTTAATTTTTTTAACATATCAATAAATGCTATACTATGAATAATAATTAGCTATACTACGAATCAGACATATTTACCGACCGCATTGTGTATACAATAAAGTAGGTTTTGTGATAGCACTAAATTTTGGATGAGTTTTCGGTGGGAACGCACTTCTCCAGAGTACGTAAGCGTAAAAAACTACTTTTAGAGAGATGTCGGTCCGTCGGGCTGTGTGTGCACGTGCGTATCTCAAGTTCGGCTAAACCGATTTCGATGAAATTTTATAAGTAAGTTTATTTCGACTATGGCACGGATTGATCAACTTTAGCGTTATAACAGGCCTCGGCAATTGCACTTTTAGCGGGCCTGTTTTACATTCTTAATCATTATGAAGAAAATATTCAACAGATTATTCAAACGTACGCGAAACCTCCTAACTTTTGGAAGAAATCAGCTGCACGCAACTGGACGTTTACTACGGGTCAAACGTACATTTTTGCGTGTATAACGAAAAATTAATAAGCGATTTCATTATTTAATATTTAAATTCGAGATGTTAAAACAATGAATTTATAATTTCTTTGAAAAGATCAGGGCTCGGAATCTGATCTGGGGGTCGATTTTACATTTTTTACCATATCTACGAAACGAATTGATGGAATTACTTGAAATTTAATATTTGAGTTCTGGTTGATACCAGAAATTACTGACGAATTTTTCGTATAATCGAACGGCACAAAATGAAACTCTACTAAAAGCCAAATTAAAATTTTTCTAGATAAGTAAACTAAAAGCATACAAAATTAATTAATAAAGATGGGTCAAACCAATGGTTTGTATTGTAGTACCTTTCCCTTTAACAATTCGTGAACATACTGCTTTTAAACACAGTCTAGTATATCTACCACACTATTAAAAATATTTTCGTTCATATACGAAACTATTTCTAGTAGAGCATATTTAGGATGAACGATTTATGCAGTTTTTGAAATAAAGCAAAAATTAATTTAAAGAGGGCTTAACATTATATTAAGGGTTGACAAAAATAATTATATAATTATTTATATATATTTATAATAAAATAATTAAATAATAAAATAATTAAATAATTAATTGTGTGAGTTAAGAAAAATAATTATATTTTTTATTGTTACGGAATTTCACAAATTTCGAGAGCTGATAACTTGAGAGGGGGTGGAGATGGAAAAAAATTTTCTTCTAACGAAATAAACTATTTACTAGTATCTAAAAGCTGGTCCTACAACCTGGGGTCTAGAAAAACAACGACATAAAAAATTTGGAAAAAACGAATTTTAGATAACGGTAAATTTGAACGGCCATTTTGTTTTTTTTTTAAGTTTAACTATAGTGTACCACGATAGAAGAAGCAAGCCACTGCCTTTCTGCGTTTGCAAAATTTGAAAAATGCTTATGGTTTCATTGCAACAAATAGTTAAAAAATGCCATTTTTAGGTTTTTGTGGCGGTATAACTTTTAGAAAGGTGAGATAGGTAAAAATTTTGTTCTACGGAAATAACTTTCTAGTAAAGATCTATGCACGTATAAAATTTCAGCTTTCTACCTTCAAGGGTGTTGAAGTTTTATAAACATGTCCACGGACGGACGGAGTGAAATTAATAAGCACTTTTTTTCAAAAAATTTTTGGAAATGTAAAAAAATTTGAAAATGCCCTTAAAATTGTAAAGAAGTGTTTGAAACCCATTTTCATAAACTTCTGGAGTACTTTTATTAATGTAGAAAATATACATTGCGGTCGGTCATGTGCTAACGACATTAAATTTTTTTTTTAAATTCAGTTGATTTTTGTGTATATTTTTACAAATTTCAGGTGTTATAATATGCAATGCTGTGTTTAATATTAATTAGTTTGGTTATTAAGTATGATATGTCTCCTACTGTGTGCATTTTTTACAAGTACTTTATATTAATTTTTAGTCATATGATTCATAATTCATGTAAACTTTTTTATATATATGCTTAATAAAGTCCATGTAATTTTTTTAACAATGTTAGCGAGAAATAACAGAAATACATATTATATAATATTATATATATATATATATATATATATATAATCAATATATATTGGTACGTCACCACCATGTTTTATTCTGCATGATACGTGTAGTAAAACAGAATTGCCCATAACAAATTCAAATAAAGATTGCCCTCTACCTTTCCAATAAATAAAAATCGTTTTTATCAAATAAAATAAATTTTTTAGGTACGAGTAAATATTCAAAATGGCAACAAACAATACTGGTGCTTCAACATCTTCAGCTACTGCCAACATTATAGCTCCGCTGCAATTAACAATAGATCCGATGCAGTACATCCAAAATTTACCAGAATTTAACGGAAAAGGTGAGGAACTTTATTCTTTCATAGAATTAGTGGACGATATTTGTCCTTTAATATTAAGATATGATCCTAGTAGTCAAAAAATTTTATTAAATAAAGTTAGAAGTAAAGTTATAGGTAGTGCTAGGGAAGTGTTAGAAATTAATAATAATGCTCAAAGTTGGTCGGAAATGAAATCCGTCTTGATTAATAATTTTTGAGATAGTGAAACTGCTTTGCAAATTTATGATGAACTAAGAGCAGTCAGTTTTACTACTCATAGTGTAGACTTGTTCAATGAAATTAAAAAGATATTGAGGCGACTCAATAATAAAGTAAAAGCTGATCGTAACTCAGTTTTTACAACCGCTATAAATATCGAAACAGCTGTAAAAATTTTCAAAGATACCAGAACCAATGCGTTCCATTTTATATTGCAGAAATCTGGCTACAATAGAATAAGCAATGGATATTTTGCATGAATGCAACTATGCATATTACAGTCCTTTCAGAAATAAAACAAATTTAAACAAACCACTCACACAATATTTCTATAGGCCTAATAACCAAAATAATTCTAATAGAGCAAACAATTTTAATCATAATAATTTTAATAACATTAACCGAAACAGAAATTATAATAACAGTAACAGAAATAATGAACATTTAAAAAACAATTATACTAACCAAAATTTACAAAATAGTAATTTTAGGAGTAGAACTAATCAAATTAGTAGTAGTAGTACTAATACCAGAAATAATCATAGTTTTAATAGAACAAATTCTAACTTTAACTCGCATTTTACTCAACACATCGAACCAACGGAAGTCGATACGAGTACCACGCGTAGAGTAAACAACTTAGAAGTAAGTAAATCAAAAAGAAACTTTGAAATAGAAAATTTTCACTCGCAAGCCTCGGAAAAACATCAGAACTTCCTTATATAAAAGTTCAATCAAAGGGAAGACCTTTAACATTTTTAATAGATTCTGGTGCTTTAATGAGCATCATCAACTCAGGTATTTGTAATCCTATTTACAAATCCGAAATAAAACCAATCAATGTAAAAACATTAACCAATTTAATAGAATGTAGAAATAAAGTTACAATAGATAATTTTATTGAATTTGATTCAAATAAAAAAATAGAATTCTTAGAATTAAAATTCCATGATAAATTCGATGGGCTTATAGGCAATAATATTTTATTGTCGTTCGAAGCTGAAATTAGTTATAAAAATAGAATTTTAAAATTGAATACAAGTAGATCAGGGAATAATTAGGCATAGCGATTCACCTTATTCTGCTCAATTAAGGGTTGTACCCAAAAAGCGGGAGCGTCAGGTATACAGAACTGGCGTATCGTCATCGATTATAGGAAATTAAATAACATCACAACTAGCGATAAATTTCCTATCCGAATATAGACGATATTTTGGATAAGTTAGGTAGGGCAATGTGCTTTACCACAGTCGATTTAACTAAAGGTTTTCAGCAAATCGAAATTTGTGAGAAAGACATTAAAAAGACAGCTTTTAGTACAAACGGAGGACATTATGAGTTTGTCAGGATGCCATTTGGCTTAAAAAATGCTCCTGCCACATTCCAACGCCTGATGAACTCTGTACTAAAAGATTACATTGGAAAAATCTGTTGTGTCTATTTAGATGATATAGTCATGTTCAGTACTAGTAAAGAGGAACATTTTGATAATTTATCTAAAATATTGAAGAAACTCAACAGCGCGAATTTAAAAATTCAATTGGATAAAAGTGAATTTATGAAGCAAGAAACCGAGTTTCGGACTAGTTGGATATTATAGAAAATTCATCAAGGATTTTGCTAAAATTGCGAAACCCTTAACATTTTCTCTTAAAAAGGGAAAGAAAATAAATATTACAATACCCGAATACAAAGAAGCTTTTGAAAAATTAAAATTATTAATTATGACTGACCCAATTTTAGTCTATCCCGATTTTACAAAACCATTTGTATTAACAACTGATGCAAGTAACTTTGCTCTCGGTGCCGTACTTTCCCAAAATAACCACCCTGTTTGTTACGCATCGCGGACACTCAACGAACATGAGTGTAGGTATTCAGCAATCGAGAAAGAACTACTTGCAGTCGTTTGGGCAACAAAATACTTTTGCCCATATCTGTACGGCAGAAAATTTTTAATTAGAGCTGATCACAAGCCTTTACAAT